GGGGGGGGGTGGGATGCAAATCAAAACCACTAGGAGATATCAGCTCACACCTCTTAGAATGGCTATTATCAAAAAGATAAGAAATAACAAGTGTTGGCAAGGACGTGGAGAAAAGGGAGCCCTTGTGAACTGTCGGTAGAAATGTAAACCGCTGCAGCCACTATGCAAAACAGTATGGAAGTTCCTCAAAAAGTTAAAGATAGAACCACCATATGATCTAGCAATCCCATTCTAGGTATTTACCCAAAAGACTTGAAACTAGGCTCTCAAAAAGATAGCTGGACTCTCATTCATTGTGGCATTATCACAATGACCAAGATGTAGAAACAACCTAAATATCCATAGACAGATACACAGATAAAAGGAAATGACATATACATAAAATGGAATATTAATCTTGCAATATGGGAAAATATGCATATGAATCTGGAGGACATAAGTGAAATAAGCCAATCACAGAAGAACAAGTACTACATGACTTCACTTCTATGAGGAAAATCTAAAATAACCACATTCACAGAAGCTAAAAGAATGGTGGCCGCAGAGGAGGGCTTGGGAGTGGGAAGAAATGAGGAGCTGCTATTCAAAAGGTATAAAGTGTCAGTCATGCAAGACGCATACATTCTAGAACTCTGCTGCACAATACTGTGCCCAGAGTTAACAACACTGCATTTGCACACTTAGTTTGTTGAAAGAGTAGATAGATCTCACATTAAACATGCTTACTACAATTAAAACAAAAACCCCAAACACTACAAGTAGAGAGGCAAGAAGCACCAAACACGTGAGGAAAGTATATCATAAGAAACACTAAGACCAAAACAATAATAAAGAAAAGCAATTTGGAGAAAGCTGACTAAGCAAAAGCTTAAAGAAGGGGGGAAAAATACCCTGCATCATTATCTATTGATCAAGAGATCAACAGATAACACTTCTAAAACAAAAGCAGAAGGATATAAAAAGGAAACATCCACAGAACAAAGAGGACCACTCAGAAATTAAAAAGTAATACAAGTGGAAGTAAAATCTCAACAGGTGTGTTTAAAAGTAAATTGAGGGGGACTTCCCTGGTGGTGCAATGGTTAAGAATCCGCCTGCCAATGTAGGGGACACGGGTTCGAGCCCCGGTCCGGGAAGATCCCAAAAGCCGCGGAGCAGCTAAGCCCGTGCGTCACAACTACTGAAGCCCACGCGCTCTAGGGTCCACATCCGCAACTACTGAGCTCACGTGCGGCAACTACTGGAGCCCAGGCACCTAGAGCCTGTGCTCCGCAACAGAAGCAGCCACCACAATGAGAAGCCCACGCACCACAACGAACAGTGGCCCTTGCTCACCGCAACTAGAGAAAGCCCGGGCACAGCAATGAAAACCCAATGCAGCCAAAAAGAAGTGCTTAACTGTGTGAAAGTTGGGAAGGCTGTTTATAGGTAATACACATCTCTGTTCTGCCAAGTACAAGAGACAAAAAAAACCAAACATGAGACATGCATGGTTTCAAAGTTCAAAGAAAAAAGCTGTATTTAAGACATACAGAACCCAAATACGGAAACAAAGGACATGACTACTACATACTTACTGGAATTAGGAGCTGTTCCAGAGCCAAATGCAGACTGACTAGGCTGCTGTCCAAACACGGGAGGCTGGCTACTGCTTGACACTGTCCCAAAAGTAGGTGGCGCAGGCTGAGAACCAGCAGAAAATAATGCTGCTGAAGAAGATATAGATCCAAAGCCTGGGGGGTTAGGCTGGCTGGCACCTTGACTTTGTCCAAATGTTGGGGTCTGGTTAGCACCGAACGCTGGACTGGCAGATGGTGCTGAAGGTCCAGTGCCAAATACAAAGGAGGATCCTAGAGGCCCACAGAAATACTGAAATTACCATGATGGTTAAAATGAGATAATCCTCAAGAAATCTCTATAAACTGAAAAGCAAATTTCAAGCTTCTTTCCAGACTCTTACCTTGCTGAACAGATCTTATCAAGACAAGTTTTGAATACTGATTAAGAATACAATTCTCTCTACCATTATTTAGTAAAACCATACAAAATCCAAATAAACAAAAACTTCTATTAACAAGACTCCTATCTTAACAGCCCAAAATTTTTAGGTCTTTAAAGAGATAAATCTAAGAAGACAACTGATCTGCCATCAGAAGTGTGACACACTGCAGAAATCAACTCATGTTGTGACTATGTATCCGTTGCATAATGAGGACTAATGTCTATTAAAATAACCTTCAGTGTCTGGCTATTTACAAATTAACATTGCAAAGAAAAAAAAAAAAACCCCAAAAGACAAAAAACACTTGAAAAAACTAAAGATTATACTCCTAATGAGATTAGAAATATTGCTTCTAAGAGTTACTTAAACTATGCACAAAATGCACATCATTCCACATAGTGAATAACTACAACACCCTGGGTAGAGATGACCTAAAAGTGGCCATGCTCTTTTGTGGTATTATTTGCTAAGAGTTCATCTGCTTACAATGAAAGCCATTCAAACTAACATGTCTCTTCTTTTTTAAACGTACCTGCAGAGCTCGATGTGGTGGGAGCTCCAAAGCTGAAACCAGAGGCGGCAGTATCACTGCTGCTGGCACCCGGACCAAAGACAAATGGGGCGACAGCTGTGCCTGCGCTCGACGTGGTTGCTGGTTTGCTCTCTCGAGAAAATAGCAAAGACTGAGAGGTACTGGATTCGGCAGAGTTCCCAAAGGCAGAGCTGCTCACAGGACTGCTGGCCTGTCCAAATACAAAGGCAGCCGCAGGCGCACTGGAGGACGAGGTGGAACTACCAAATATGCCACCACCAGCTGAAGTGGCTGGTGTACTTGAATTAGAGGAACTGTCGTTCAAGAAACTGAAAACTGGCTTTGCTGTACCTTGATCTGTAAGACAGAAATTAAGAAATAAACAAAAACCTTTAAGAATAAGTAATACCAGAAAGCATTTTTTCCTAGCCTAAAGTCTAATACGAGTCCATTAGAAAACAATCATTAACTTTTTAACATAGATTCATTCATCGAATGGACATCTGTTATGTTAAATTTTGATGTAGTCAAATATATCCATCTTTTCTTTTATGGCTTATGAATTTTATCTAACATAGCAAAACCTCTGGCATTCAGATTAATAAAAATAAAAAATATTCCTTAAATCCAAATCTAACTGGATACTCTGGATAACAAATTCAGACAATGGGAGATAGCTACACTTCTATAAATTTGATTTTGCAATTTATGTTAGCAGGATTGTAACTTCAATTTATCTGAACAACAGCCAATTTTCTCTGCCGCCTTTATTGACTGGTGTACCCTTTTGCTCACTAATTTGTAACTCTACCTTTACAACGTATTAAACTTCCAGACCTCTACAGTTACTGTTACTAGACTATTTTAAATATTGTAACTTTGTAGTATTGTTTGCTATTAGGGCAAACCTACCTGACTGTATGTGTGCCCTTCTCCCCAAAATGTCTTATACATTTTCCCTTCCACGTGAATTTTAGAATTATTTTAGCTTGTCAAGCTCCACAAAAATTCCTCTAAGAAATGAAATTATATTGGGAGTGAGGTAGAGAGTAAAGGATATTCTCACTCAGGAATAAGTATAAAACATGCCTTTTATGTTCTCTTAATTCTTTAGCATGTTGCACGTTCTGCTGATATTATAAAATACAAATTGGAAATGTTAGTAAATACAAATGGGAAATGCTGTCCAACTATTTATTCTTGATTTGGAGAAAAGAGAATGATTTTTTATATGGTGACCCTGAATCCAGCTACCTTCAGTAGAAGACTCTTTTTTTTAAACTTGTTCCAATAATATCTCAGTTCCAACACTATTTACTAGACAGGGCTGGTCACATTGTGGTATGGGCACTGGTAAAATTTACAGAAAATGGAACACGTTTGCTCACTTTCAGGTGGTTTAATAGGACGTTAAAAATGTCTATTTCAATGGAAACAGTATAGCGATACCAGGATTAAATTCGATTAGACCCTATCTCATTTTTATTCCTTTCTAAATAATAATGTATAATTTAGTTTTTGTTTCCTTTGAAGGGTGTGTTAAAATTTAAGTAGAATTTTATAGACAAAAACTGCTCACACCTATGTGTTGAATTCCATACAACTTTTTTTTTCAGGTTAATTTTTCATTTTCTTGTGTTTCTAATTTATTATTCAAAAGTGTTCCATGTTCTTTTGCATTGTGTTCTGGGAAATTCCAGTTCACTAATCCAATTACCAGCTGTTCCCCCCCCCCCCCCCCCCCCCACAAGCTTTGAATTTTTGTGCTAGATCATCTTACAATCTGTCACCCCATTTCAAGCCACCTCCGTGAATTGTCCCCCCCCCCCCCCCGCCCCCGCTCCTCAGTCCACACAATGATTTTATTTCACAAAACATGTTTCTTTAACTTTTAAAAATACTATTTCATTTTTTTCTTCCAGATCTTAGTTTTCATAATCACGTCTATTTCTCAGGGGTTTATCATATTTGTTGTCTATGTTCCTTAAATGCCAGATGAAGACTGGTTATCTCTATTTGTAAATGAAGGCCTGTACATAAAGATTTTATTAGTTAAAAAATATTCCATGAGCTTAAGAAAAAATGCTTATTTTCCTGAACAGTATATGTCAATTCTGATTATAAAAGCCCAAACAGAAGGGAGTAAGTCACGGACAAATGTGCAAATACTGTGGGCTTTCCATTAGAGCTGTGTTTCTCAAAATTAGATACGCAGATAACTTCATGAGAATCACGGGGGGCGGATTCTGAAGGAGCTGAATCCTCAGCTCCTTCCCAGAGAGTTCTATTACTGGTACTCTCTCAACTATTTCCAGTATAAAACATTCCTTGACTTGCTACATTTGTTGACACCTTGTAAAAAAAACAACAACAATGTTTAATACTTACCAGCTGTAGTACTGGTTTGAGCTCCAAAAGCAAAAGTGGCCTTCGTTGGCTGTTCAGATTCCTTCTCAGATGGTTTTGCCATACTGAAACTAAAGGTCGAAGACTTGGAAGAACCCTCGTCTTTGGTTTGCTCTGAGTTCCCAAAGGAAAACAGTGGTGGACACTTTGGCTCTTCACTGTCAGCTTTTTTCCCAAACACTAGAGATGTAGACGTGACAGGCTCTTGCTGTTTCTCTTCTGTCCTTCCCAAAACAAACAACGAGGCAGATGGCAGGGGGGCAGGGTCCACGCTGCCAAAAGTGAACCCTCCTTTGGAGGCAGGGGTTTCTTCTTTTTTTGCTTCTGGCGTTTGACATGTGAAAGGAGCCCCTGGGACACTCTTGGTGTCCACGGTTCCAAAACTGAAGCTGCTCTTGCTCTCAGAGGTCACTGTGGTGTCAGTAGCAGCAGGGGGAGGGTTAATGACACCGGAACCAAAGCCAAAGCCTGCAGATGAAGATTTCGGCGGTTCTTCTTTCTTTTCTTGCTGCCCAAGACTAGACACCCCAAACTGAAATGGAGCTAAAGAAGGCGGACTGCTTAAACCAGAAGCAAGTCCAAACTTAAAATTATTATCATTTTTACTATCTTTTTTAACTTCTTCAGGTTTAGAATCAGATGAAACTCCAAATTTAAAATCTATTGGTTTAGAAAATTTAAAGCCTTCACTCAAAGGGGTTACAGACCCAGAATCTAATGACACACCTATTTTGAAACCTCCTTGATCTCCAAATTTAAAATTTCCAGTGTTTGTTAAAGTCTGAGAAGGCCCAGAAGAGGATGATGGGATGCCAAATTTGAAGGATGAGGTTGCTGGGTTCGAAGATGAGGAAGATGGGCTGAAGCCTTCAAAAATATAAGAAACACCAAAAAGACAATGAATTAATACTACTCTCTCAAATAGAATGTCAACCTTGAAAAGTAAAGGGACATGGGACAACTCTGAAAAGGCCTACGTCGAAGAGTATTAGTTTAACAATGGCAGTAAACATGAACCAAGTTGCCCATATTCAGCATCTTGATACTCACAACTACACTGATGTGCCACATTTCATCTATCAGACTGACAAGAGATCAAACAAGTTTGATAAAACAGTGCTGGTGGTGAGACTAGGAGTAACAGACACTCCAGACATGGCAGGTGGATGTATAAATCAGCACAAAACTTGTGGAAGGCAACTTGCCAATATTTACCCCAAATTACAGACACATGTATCCTCTGACCCAGCAAGTTTACAGCTGAGTCTTTATTTGAATGATAAACTCAAAGATATGCAAAATGCCATATGCAATCCAGGCAGCTGTAAATGAAGAACAAAGTCCAAGCTAATCTGTGGTAATGTCAAGGGTGCAAAAAGGCGGGTGTGGTATACAACCTTTTCTAACAAGGCAGAAAGACGAATATAATAGAGAATAGAAGTATATTTGCTTGTGATGTGCATAAAGAAACATTGAAAGAGTTACAAGAAACTAACCACAGATAGCTATTACCACTCGTGGAGCAGGAAGGATGGAAAATGAGCCAATAGGGACAAGAGACAGACTTTTCGCTGTGAATCCTGTCATAATTTGCTTTTTAAATCTTGTGAGTACATGTGTTATTTACATAAGAATTAAAATTTTTAGCACCAAAGAACTAGAATTATATGAGTGGAAGCAATATTTTTTTTTTTTTTTTTTTTGCAGTACGCGGGCCTCTCACTGTTGTGGCCTCTCCCGTTGCGGAGCACTGGCTCCAGACTCACAGGCTCAGCGGCCACAGCCCACGGGCCCAACCGCTCCACAGCATGCGGGATCTTCCCGGACTGGGGCACGAACCCGTGTCCCCTGCATCAGCAGGCGGACTCTCAACCATGCGCCACCAGGGAAGCCCTGGAAGCAATATTTTAAAAAATAAAAATACTATACTGACAAGATCAAAGTCTTGGTTTCAGAATTCTTCTCTGTAGTGGAATAAACTAGAAATGAAGCACCTGAATGACTGGCTCAACACAAAAATCATTAAACGGTGCCAAGGTATTCATCCATTACTTTGTTTACCCACATGTAAATAAAGACAAGTGGCAGCCAAGGGCTTGTAAAAAGCGCTTGTCTTCAGATTTCCCCCTTTAACGATTACCCACCCCACTTTCTTTCCATAAGAAACTTATTTGAAAAATTATATCAGAATCTCAAAAGCAGGACTCCCCAGGTGGCGCAGTGGTTAAGAATCCACCTGTGGGCTTCCCTGGTGGCGCAGTGGTTGAGAGTCCGCCTGCCGATGCGGGGGACGCGGGTTTGTGCCCCGGTCTGGGAAGATCCCACATGCCGCGGAGCGGCTGGGTCCGTGAGCCATGGCCGCTGAGCCTGCGCGTCCGGAGCCTGTGCTCTGCAACGGGAGAGGCCACAACAGTGAGAGACCCGCATACCACAAAAACAAAACAAAACAAAACAAACAAAAAAAAGAATCCACCTGCCAGTGAAGGGGACATGGGTTTGATACCTGGTCTGGGAAGATCCCACGTGCTGAGGAGCCACTAAGCCCGCGCACCACAACTACTGAGCCTGCACTCTAGAGCCTGCGTGCCGCAACTACTGAGCCCACGAGCCACAACTACTGAAGCCCGCGCGCCTAGAGCCCGTGCTCCGCAACGAGAGAAGCCACCGCAGTGAGAAGCCCGCGCACCACAACGAAGAGTAGGCCCCGCTCGCCGCAACTAGAGAAAGCCCACGTACAGCAACAAAGACCCAACGCACCCCCAAAAAAAAAAAAAAAAAAAAATCTCAAAAGCAAATGGCTATCCACACGGTTTCTGAAATACCTTAAGTGATATTAGACAGAAAGCTAAAAATAAAGGTGCCAAAGACAATAATTAACTAGTTATCACCTCTGACTCCAAGGATCTCAAAGGCACTTCTGCCTCAAAAGGAAGGTTTAAAGGTATGGTGATTACTGTACTACAGGTGGGGAAAATAGGAACGGGACCATAAGGTAGCAGCAACATACAGAGCTTTAGTGATCTTCTAAAACCCAAATGCAGTGTTTTTCAAACCAGTTGTATCCCCTTAGCCATGTTAATTAATTCAGTGGGCTGCAACCAGCATTTTCCTTCTCAAATGAAAACAAATAAAAAATAGAAAATGTACTTATTTTCACTGCAGACTAGCAAACAATTCAACTGCATAGTAATTCAGAGACAGGTATGAGCTAGAAGTCCAGGACAACAGCTCATGTTACATGAATTTTCAACAGAGAATGAATAGTTTTAAAACCAAAGCTGTTTGTAAATATTTCACTTTAAAGTGGTAATCTAAGGAGGCACTTTACCAACACCTTACCTGTAAACTCAGACTTTGTGCCCGGCTTTGCACTGTCACATGCTACGCATTTGGTAGAATCTGCTTTATTCTCCACTAGGCACACTTCACAGTCCCAGCTTCCCTCAGGTTTCTTGAACTTGTCCAATCCTAGGCAGCCTCCAGACAACAGAGAGACAGAGACAGTGCTGCTACTTGAAGCAGGTACTGAAGTTCCTAAAAAATAATGGGGAAATACAGGAAAATTCGGATTTACATTATGTTGAGATCTCAATGACACCAAGTCTAAATATACAATTTTTATGTGTTTCCTATTAAGAGAAAATGCCAGAAATCTAAACATCACATTGTTAAAAACAGTACAGACATCTCAGATTTCTTTTAATCTTACAAAAGAGCAACTCACACTCACCTTGCTCAGTGATGAGCCCCCTTTAATCCCCAGTTTGAACAGCCATGGTTTTTAAGAATCATGCTCACAAATCAGAGCCTAAAAGACTAAATTTTCCTTAATAATCTGTCAAATTTTGTTAAACATCAGATTATAATACATAAATTCTAAATTGTAGGCAACAGCCTGACTCATAAAACACACAGCCCAGGCAATATTAATTTCAAGATTTCAAAGCACAGATCTCTGACTTTGAAATGACCATTTTTGCATAGAAGTGCTCTTTTATCCACTTTGCAATTCAACTCAACATTACCTACTATGTTCATGGCATTTCTGTTATAAGGTAGACATTTAATAGACATTTATTAAGCACCAGAACGTTCTTAGGTTCTGGGAATATCAAGATGAATAAAATGTTGCTTAACTTCTAAAGGTGTTTCTGGTCTAAAAGGGGGGAAAGCAAAACGAACATAAATGCATAGCAGCACCATCACTAAGACGGAGAGTGACAAATGATCTAAACAAGAGTACAGAGAAGAAATTACTATGGGATAGGAGAAGGATTCACAGGGGTGGTATTTACATTTTTAAGCAGAACTAGCAATTTTGTGGGCAGATGCGGCGGCACAGGAAGGATGGCTCAGCAAGGCACAGCTGCATGAAGAAATATAGTGTTGAGAGTGGAGCCATTCATTCTGGTAACCCCACTTCTCTAAATGTCCTCTAGCTGTTGTCACTTTTCCCAGTTACCTGATCTGTGTTTTACTGGTATGTTCTCTTCCATCTTGCCAATAAAATTGTGCCATCTTTGGCCCACTGCCCTTCTCATGAGCTCTCATCTACTCTGATGATTTTAATCACCAACAAAATCTTTCCCATCCATACCTGAAACCCACCCACACTTCTGGCTTTCATGCCTGTGGTATCTCTTTGTTGGTACTTCCACTATCCACCTGGCTACCTTGGCTAGATGACAACTCTTCCCTTAAATTATTTCATTCTCTTTCTCTGACCCTTCTACTGCTCTTCTGGTTCAAGCCCCCTCATCTCTTGCTTAATAGCCTTGTTATTGAGACCTCTGGTTTCGTTCCCTTGAAATCCATCCTCCTAAAAAGCAACTAGTACCACGTGGTTTTTGTTTTTCCTCTCTGGTTATTCATTTAAAAGACTGACTGCTCCAAAGTTCTATTCTTGCTACTCTCTTAAGTTGGCAGAGTTCAGTTTTAGGCTGTCTTCTCTATTTGCTCTGCTCACTCACCTTATATCACCTCTACTCCCATGACTTACTTGAAAACTATGGGCTAATGACTCCCAAATCTGTATCTCCAGTCCAGAGGGTCCATTATCAGTATATCCAAAGGCCTCACACATATCTGTCAACTTCAGCAGCTTGAAATCAACATATCTTCAACCGTACATTATTCTATACCCCATTTGCTTTTATTAGTACATATCACTACTATCTCTACCTATATTATTGATCAACTTCCTAACCTGTCCTCTGGTTTCCAAATTTTGCTGCCTTCAAATCTATCCTCCAAAAAGCCACCAGGTGATTTATCAAAAATAGAAGTTTGACCCATCAACTCAGAATAAATTTTGGTTTCCTACACATATCAAGAGCTTTCTTTCTTTTTTTTTTGTTAAGGGGAAGAGGAAGAATGCCAGATGGAAAGAGAAAAATATTTCGGAAAAAAGATTCTGAAATCTTATTCTTGTAGAGATGTCTAGCAGGAATCAGAAATATGGCTCACCCCTGGTGTTAAGAGAGGGATGTGGGCTATTAACTCAAGAGCTTTCCGTTGCAGACACAAAATCACACATCTATGGTAATGCAATAAAAATAGGAAGTATAATTCCCAGGATACTCATAACATGTTTTATTTAGTATCCATGTTACCATATATCTGTACCAAATAATTATATAATAGCATTACAAACACAGCAGAGTCAAATGAATTAATTCCAAATGAATTAAAGATCAATGTAAATCTTCAGTAACTCTTTCAAAATTGAACAGAAACAGGAAAAACTCAACTCTAACTTCATTTTTCTGGTTACCTAATAGAACTTTTCATTAATGATTCAGTAATTTATGATCATTGCAATACCTCTGGCAGATGGCGCATACAGGTACAGGTATCACCATTAACATTCAGCCACAGCCTTCTCATAATGCAATGAAACCAGCTGTGTAAATGACCACTAGCCATCCTCACTTCTACTTAGAGGAAAAGAGACAAAGGAATATTTTATTCTGTGTAAAGGTTTGAGAAAGACTGCCCCGTTCTAAGACCTTTGCATCTATATTAGCCAACTTTGAAAATGATCATGAAGAGCAAGAAGCTTCTGATAAAATTACATACAAAAAAGAGGTCAAAGCAAATGCTGGACTGATTTTAACACACAGCCTCTCCTAAGAGAACGTGCAGTTCCAGTCCCAAGTAAGTCATTTTAATTTCAAGACAGTTCAGAAAAATTAAGACATATGAGGAAATGCTCATCTTGAAACATCTAAAATATTGAGGTTATTCTTAGCTGTTTTACAGAGAATAAATTAAAATGTTCTATTAAAGAAATGAACAAAATTATTACAAACAGCCATAAACGTACCTGGTTTCTGAGACATACAGGACACACATTTATTGTCTTCTGCATTATTAGAAACACAGCACACTGGACACTCCCAAGATCCCACGGGCCTTTTGAATTTATCTGTAAATCCTAAGGCACCAGTGGTCTCAGTGCAGCTGGAGGAGGAAGCAGCCACAGTAACAGCGCTTTCTGAAGCCACTGGCAACGCAAGGACTCGCTTAACACCAGTTCCCGGTTTCGGTGTTTCACAAGCTACACATTTTATCGCTTCAGGTTTATTTTGCACTAAACAGGTATCGCAATCCCAAGCTCCTGCTGCTGGTTTAAATTTGTCTCCAAAGCCTGTCTCTGGTGCAGAAACAGTTGGTTTGCCACTTTTACTTGGTGTCCCAGTTCCAGTCTGTTTAGCAGTATCTTTTGGTGGCAATTTTGCTGCTTGACAGGCTACACATTTGTTGTCTGTAACTTTGTTCTGGAGTAGACAGGTATCACACTGCCACGATGACCCAGGTTTTAAACTTTCCCCAAACCCAATTCCACTAGAAGAAAAGCTACTTATTGCTGGTCTTGAATAAACTACCAGGCTTGTGGTGGTAGGTTGAGCAGCAAGAGAATCTGCCTTTGGTGATGTGAAACCTACAATGCGGGGCAAGAGGGGAGCGGGAAGGAAAAGATTAGTCCATGTTTTGATTAGAAAGCCTATTATTTACTAATCATTAATAAATATTAATAATATTAACATAGACAGTAATTATAGAGTAACAGCTGTTAATGATAAAAATATTATTCCTGAGGGGAAACATTTTTACCTTAATTACAGAGTTATTACAGTCCAAGACGGACTACTTAAAAGTAGTTTTTCACCTAAGCTATATTTCTAGTACTAATCACATATTTAATAAGCGATACATCTGGGTAAAAGTCTACAAAAGATGTTTGGTTTATAGTATGTCATCTTCCTCTAGGAATCTGTTTACTGTAGTTCAACCAATACCTAATTTGAGACTTAATTAAGGTATACACATAAAACCATGAAATAAGGAAAAGTCTTTGGAAATAAGGGAAAAAACCATGAGGAAAAGTCTTTGTGCTATCAAAACTGGTAACAGTTGAGTTGATTCACTCAAACTACACTGTATTTGTAGAAATGACCTTTCAATCCTTTACTCTGGACCAATTAACTTTTATTTTACATACACCAAAATAACACCCATTTCTCTAGCCTTTAGCATCAAGGGAAAAGAAAATCAGAGGGAAAGATGATACAGAAGGTTGTTAAAGAGGTTTTCTAGTGGTACCAAGAAATAATCCAGCCTAGAGCTATTTTTTGCCTAAAGATAGAACAAGCCCACATACTTCAGTTACTCCCAAAGGAGGAAAACGTACTATTTTGTTAATGATTAACCTGAGTCACTAAGGTTGGCAAAATTTTAACAGTAACCACTTCAAGGTGTTACAAGTTTTCTTTTCCTCCTACTTTCTTGGATTTTCCTTATTTCCCTCAAGAGAACATGTAACTTCTCCAAATTTTTGCTATTTAAAAAAAAGTTTAAAAGAGGGGAGGAGTGGGCATTATGAATGCAAAGTGTAACTTCTATGAAGATAACCTATATGCATTTGATGCTGACTACCACTCAGTTCACCCTAACACAGGCATTCTGGAGTCCTGCCCATAACTGCATAAAACCGTCTATATTGAGATTCTAGTAGGCAGTATACTCATCTATAAAATGGGAGCTACACCAAAAAAACCTAATCCCTCTAAATCTTGCTGTAGCATCTAACCTTATTATTGAAACTCATGTGCAGTTATACATGAACACATGTGCTGGATAAATCTAAATTCTTTCTGAGCTACTAGATTATCTTATAAACACTTTTATATTCTTATAGTATACATCCCAGTTGGAATTATACTATCCTCTTTGATTTTCAAACTGAAAACCTATTCCTATTTGAGGACTTCTATTCATTATCTTCAAATTCTTACCCACTAACATTCATATCTTATTTTATTTGAAGTGAGTACTATCGCGCGCGTGCGTGTGTGTGTTACAGTCAGCATATGTTTGCTTTCTACTTGGCTTTGTTATATATATATCCCACAACTGGGGAATAATCTGAGAAGAACAAGGCAGTTCAATGCTCTCAGAGAGAGACATGTCCAGGTATATCATCAGGTTTATTTACTTTTTTCCAATTATTGGCCCATCTCTAAGTAACAGGCAATTCACCTTTTCTCCTTCTATACTTGCCCCTTAGAGATTCCATTTTAGTGCAGAGTCCTTAAATTCTAAAGAAATAGTTTCTAAGGTCTTGCACCTAAAAAGTTACATCTGATTACATCTACATTCAAAAGCCAATCTCCTATCAAACTAGACATCATTTTTTAAAAGCCTGAAGTACAACAAAGTATTAACAAATGATATTAAGATCAGATCATGATTTTGCAATTAAGATTTTAGATTATCTCAAGGGCAGCCATTATCTTACCAGGGCTCTTCAGAACATCTAGGACACTTCCTTCTTTCAGGGTTTTTGCAGGTTTGAAAGGGCCCTTGCAATCTTCATCTGGTTTCTCCTTACAGCTTGGACTGTTCACTGCAGTGATATCTTGAGCTGTAATTTTTTTTAATTGTAAGAGATATTATGCTAAGAAAAAGCAAGTTACATGTATTAAAAATCTCTCAAAGTCAATCTGAATCAACATCTTAAAAAAAAAACACACCAAAAAAGTCACTGTAATTCAAAGATAATGAACAAATGATTTAAAGTACAGGGTTAACTTGCCATTACAAGGAAGCAAAAAATACTATTTCCCATACTGTACATCTCTCTCCTCCAGAAGGACAAAAAATTATATAAACTATATATAATCTATAATTGTTACCAATAAGTTCACCAGTTTCATCAGACTGAAACCCTGAAGAGGATATGGCAACAGGGGCGAGTTCAAACACTGTATGAAATATGTATTTGATTACACAGCAATTTACAACACTGATTAAAAAAAAAACTTTAAAAATTAATGTTTATGGAAGCAACCTAAGTGTCCATAGACAGATGAATGGATAAAGAAGACGTGGCACATATATACAATGGAATGTTACTCAGCCATAAAATGGAATGAAATTGAGTTATTTGTAGTGAGGTGGACGGACCTAGAGTCTGTCATACAGAGTGGAGTAAATCAGAGAGAGAAAAACAAATACCGTATGCTAACACATATATATGGAATCTAAAAAAAAAAAAGGTTCTGAAGAACCTAGGGGCAGGACAGGAAAAAAGACGCAGACACAGAGAATGGACTTGAGGGCACGGGGTGGGGGGGAAGGGTAAGCTGGAATGAAGTGAGAGAGTGGCATGGACATATATACACTACCAAATGTAAAACAGATAGCTACTGGGAAGCAGACGCATAGCACAGGGAGATCAGGTCAGTGCTCTGTGACCACCTAGAGGGATGGGATAGGGAGGGTGGGAGGGAGACACAAGAGGGAGTGGATATGGGGATATATGTATACATATAGCTGATTCACTTTGTTACACAGCAGAAAATAACACAACATTGTAAAGCAATTATACTACAATAAAGATGTTAAAAAAATGTAATGTTTAATTAAGCCAGATATTTCATTTCTATAAATTCATCCTATGATTGAAAATATCTTTCAGTTATTATATTGAAAGCCTGGATGATACTTAATAAAAGGGGCTAGCTACATAAATTACAGAACAGTGACATGATGGAATGCTATGCAGCCACAAAAAATCATTCTTAGAAGCATAGTTATGTGAAAGAGTAGGTTAGAAAGTCCAGAAGATTTTGACTGTTTACATCTAAAGAGTGATATTTTTACTTTTCATAGTTCCCAAACTTGCGAAAACGAACATATCCTTATACTTAAAATAAGAGATCTATATTGTGAGTACAATAATCATTTTGTCATTATATTTCTGTTTACAGATGAAATATGTTTGGGATTGTTTCAAAATTACCTGATAGGTGTGTTTGTGTGTGTGAGGGGAGAAGGAAGGAAGGAGGGAGAGAGAAACAAGATTGGTCACAAAATGGCAAATGCTGAAGCTCAGTAAAGTGTGTATGGGGATTCAGTCTACTCTTCCACTTCTGAGAATGTTTGAAATTTTCCATAATAAAATATAAATAATCAGGTTTTTCTTCTAAAGTGCTTGCCAATTTAAAAGCAGTGGGTAAAGTAGTTCGAAAACCCTACCTACCCTTATCTCACACCATAAACAAAAATTAATTCAAAATGGATCAATGGGGACTTCTCTGGTGGCACAGTGGTTAAGAATCCACCTGCCAATGCAGGGGACACAGGTTCGAGCCCTGGTCTGGGAAGGTCCCACATGCCGCGGAGCAACTAAGCCCGTGTGCCACTACTACTGAGCCTGCACTCTACAGCCCACGAGCCACAACTACTGAAGCCTGTGCACCTAGAGCCCGTGCTCTGCAACAAGAGAAGCCACTGCAACGAGAAGCCCGCGCACGGCAAAGAAGAGTAGCCCCCACTTGCCGCACCTAGAGAAAGCCCGTGCACAGCAACAAAGACCCAACGCAGACAAAAATAAATTAATTAATTTAACAAAAAAATGGATCAATGACCTAAACATAAGAACTGAAACCATAAAACTCTTAAAAGAAAGCCTAGGAGGTGTATCTTCATGACCATGGATTTGACAATGAATTCTTAGATATGACACCAAAAGCACAAGTAAATAAAAAACTGAACTTCACCAAAATTAGAAATCTTTGTGCATCTAAGGACATTACCAAGAAAGTGACAACTGACTGAATGGGAAAAAATATTTGCAAATCACACATCTGATAAAGATCTAGTATCCAGACTATATAAAAACGCTACAACTCAGTGACAAGAAGACAAACCAATTTAAAAATGGGCAAAGGACCTGACCAGACATTTCTCCCAAGAAGATATGTAAAGGGCCAAAAAGCACATGAGAAGATGCTAAACAGGAGTTCAGTTTTTTTAAGCATAAGCCACCTGTTCTCCTTGCTTGGCCCTGCAATAAACCTTTCTCTGTTCCAAAAAAAAAAAAAAAAAAAAAAAAAGTACTAAACACCATTAGTCTTCAGGGAAATAAATGCAAATCAAAACCACAATGAAGGGCTTCCCTGGTGGTGCAGTGGTTGAGAGTCCACCTGCCGATGCAGGGGACGTGGGTTCATGCTCCGGTCCGGGAAGATCCCACATGCCGTGGAGTGGCTAGGCCTGTGAGCCGTGGCCGCTGAGCCTGCGCGTCCGGAGCCTGTGCTCCGCAATGGGAGAGGCCACAGCAGTGAGAGGCCCGTGTACCGCAAAAACAACAACAACAACAAAAACCACAATGAAGCATCACTTCATACCCACTACGACGGCTATCATCAAAAAATGGAAAATAATAAACATGGTGAGAACATGGAGAAATTTGAATCCTGCTGGTGGGAATGTAAAATGGGCCGTTTTGTAGTTCCTCAAGAAGTTAAATATAGGACTATCATTTGATCCATCAACTCCATTCCAGGTATACACTCCAAAGCACTGAAACCAGTATTCAAACAAATACAAGTACATGCATATTCACAGCACCACTATTCACAATAGCCACAAAGTGGAAACAACTCAAATGTCTATCAACGAATAAACAGATAAATTATGGTATATCCATATGGTGGAATACCATTCAGCCACAAAAGGAATGAAGTAATGATACATACTACAAGACAGATGAACCTTGAAAACGGTACGTGAAAGAAGCCAGATACAAAAAGTCACACTGTATGGTTCCAGGATAGGTAAATACATAGAAACAGAACACAGATTAGTAGCTGTCAGCAGTTGCGGGGTGCGGGGGGGGGAATGGGGAAAAACTGGTTAATGGGTACAGGTTTCCTTTTGGAAGTGATAAAAATGTTTGGTACTAGTTAGAGGTGGTGACTGTACTAAACACAATCAACACTGTGACTGTACTACACACCAATGAATTGTTCCCTTTGATTAACTTTATCTTATGTCAATTTCACCTGAATAATAAAAATGTGCAAAAAAACAAAACACCATACCTATCTCTTACAACTGTGTCAAAAGAAAAATGCTTTTATTACTTTATCACATTCTATCTTCCTTTATAATCAAAATTGAACTGCTTTTAGCAACTTAAGGTAAATTTTAAGGATTTCCTAAAGTGTACTCAAAGAGAGGGAAAATGACGATAATGGGAAAATTAGCTCCTATCACAGCGTAATCATGACTTCCGCATTTTCATCAGCTTTTTAATGACAGAAGTGGTGAGAAACAGAGGTCTCAATGTAAGAATAATTCTATATATGCCACTCATATAAACTCCTGAAAAATCTGGGTAATTTCCCCAGATGTAATGGAACACAAAAGTTGTTTTCACAAACTATTACTCGTTCGGTTACCATTAGTAAAGCATTAATAAAAACTGAAGGACTTCAATGCCTTTCCCTCATAACCAGGCATGAAAATGAAATTTGAATTGGTTTATTCTTCTTGAATTCACAGTAACATTAAAGAACAAAAAATCATGTGTTAAGTACACCTGAAATATGCTTATTACTTTCTCTTACACAGGGCTGTTTTATTCAACAAAAATCAGGATTGAAAACATACCAGTCAAATTCTTATTTTGTGCCACTTTCGTAACCTATGCTCTTGTCTTCCAGATCATCCAAAGACAAAGACTTTCTTAGCTTATAGGTCCTGGCTCTTTGATAGCTTTTTAAATCTACCTTTTGAGGGAGGATCTAGTTTTTAAAAAATTCCCAAACTCAGCAGATAGTCAACGAAACACTTCTGAATAAGGCAACAGCCCCTTAACTGGTGTCTCAGCATATGACACCCCACTCCCACCCACATGCCCACTCAACACACTGCTGTTACTCCAAGGCACCATCGCACCCCCTATAAAAACCACCCAATGTTCTCCTACCACATTCAGATTAAAATCCAATTATTGAGCATAGCATTCAGAGAATTTTTAGAATTTAAAGCTACCTCTCAATCTCATGACAAATTATTTGTGATTTTCAAAGTATGCCATGCTTTTCCTCTTGTTCTCTTGCATTTGGCTGTTTGTTGGGTGAGAAATGCCCTTACTCAGAATTCTTGACCTGAGTAACTCAGCCCAGATTATTCTTCATTTCCCAAACACCCAATACTTGAAACAAAACCACCACCACCACAGCAAAAGCCTATGTTTTAATTATCTGAATATTCATTTCTTTCCCTCAATTACGCCCATTTTTTTGAGTTTAGAAATTATATATCACTATCTGCAGAGGCTGGCATAACCCTTACGCATAAAAATGCTTGTGAACTCAAGAGTAAACCTACAGATGGAATCCACTGTAATTACAATGTAGACCACCCTTGAACTTCTTGTAACATTTCATTTATAGAGCTTCCTCGGCCAGAGACCTGCTGAGGGAGCTCTCCTGTTGCTCAGATGACGACATCTGCTTAGCACAGAGGAGAGTCTGGTACTGAGAGCACTGGTAGACAGGTTAATACCAGACACCTCTGTGAGACCTGGTGGGCAGCCCTGGGATCAGTAACCAGCAGTCATGGCTCCTG